GAGAGAGAGAGAGAGAGAGAGAGAGAAAATCTTTAAATATGATTTGATTGCATTTGACATTCATATTTTAACTCGTAACAGACAGTTTAGCCTTTAAATCACTGACTTGAAGCTTTTAATGTGATAGGATTTTTTCACGATCGAATTAAAATTAATATCGAGATAGAAAGTTTTGTATAGCGATTATGATGAAAAACATAAGACGCGACATAAGATTCATTATATACGTATACTTATGTATGCGATAAATATCGACATGTCCAAACAACATTTCTTTGTATGAGTAAACTTTTCCATCTTTATACAAGAAATTATTCAAGACGAGTGTAATGTATACAGGAATCGGTCTTATTTGATCTTTGGACGGCACAATTGTACCATACAAACATATTGATTTAAATATTTTCTAGAACATGCATTTTTTAATAAATCATTGTCACATATAATATTTTGTAAAATTAATCAAAAAAATATATAATTACGATTTAACTCAATATATAATAAATATTTTCCTTTTCCCTTAACTGTAACATCTTACTTGGATCTGCGCGTAAATATTTAAATAATTATTTAAAATAACAAAATAAAGAATGCGAAATGTATAAAAAACAAATTTACATAATAAAATTTTCACTTGCGATGCTTTCATATACAAAAAAAAGCTATCGTCTTTTAATATATCTTTTTGTTAAAATACAGATTCGAGATTAAATAAAATATTACATAATAAGCAAACTTCTCGGATAGTTGCGCATGAATTACCAAAATCTTAAGATTTAGTTAGAAATATGCTTGCCATTAGTTTAAACGATGATGGTAATGAGCAAAGTGATGCCAAAGTCGTTTACGGTCGTTCCGTCGAATGCACCAGTAGTAGATCTCGCGTTTACGCCCGACAGTGGCGCACGCATGCAGGTATTTGATATGCCGTCGATACGTCATAAACCTAAAATCACTCGCGGGAAAAGATGCATTTGAACGGGTGATAATAAGAAACAATGAGAGATTTCTCTGACAGCACGTAAATTCTAAAAATGTCATACGCAATATCGTAAAAAAATAGATGAGTAGTTGATTTTTGAATAAATGGAAATACTTACTAATAATATCTCACAGAAATGATTTCAAATTATAAACGTGACAACAATTTTCGAGGCGCGTGAAAAATTTGCAAATAATACGAATGTGTTTATATACACATATAGATGCGTACCTTTTGAATCTACTTTATACATATATATTTCGAACAAATGTTATAATATATATGTAAATTATGTACAATAACATAAATATCGAATAATGAAAATAATAATTGATGAAGTAATTGTAACGAGTTCGTTATCGAATATTGTAAAAAGAAATGTTTAGGAGGAAAATGTTTAAATATAATCAGATACGGTGTAAATATTTCTCTTCTTTCGCGAGTGAGCAAAATGACATTAAATTCCTGTGATAAATTGTGTCGGAAATGTAACATAAAAGCAATAACATAAAATCGAAAAAGCAATATTGACATATCACGATTAAAGCGCGATACAACGTGATTGTTACTGTCGATTTTTAATTTCGAGTCAAGTTTTTTTTCCAATCTCTCCGACATCGATAGTATTAGTCGGATCGGTCGCGCATTCGCGCGCTGATCCGCGCTTGATTGCGCTCCTCACGAATTGTGCCGCGCGTAATCAAGAGACAGTCCGCCATTATTGGCTGCCCACTTCCACCTGCCTTCACCTGCCCGCCATCGTCCCGGCATTCGCTACTAGGCGACTACCAGCGACTACGCGAGTCAGTCGACGATCTGCCGGCGAATGGTGTGAGTACGTCGCGATAGAATAATTTTGCGCAGAGGCAAAGTAGAGCTGAGAGTAGCGACCGATTGACGATAGGTAGTATAGATCGCAGGGATCGCGAGATTTTTTTCCGCGTACTCCGTTACGCGCGATCATCCTAGCGTTGTTATCGTCGTCGAAGCTCCCGCTGCTCCCGCCGTCTCTCGGTGCTTCCCCGTCTCCCTCCATCCGGTCTGACCTGTCTCGCTAGCATCACCCCTCCATCGCGCCTTGTGTCGCCGTCGTCGCCGTCCGCCGCTGTTCGCCGCCGCCGCCACCGCCGCCACCGCCGCCACCGCCGCCGCCGCCGTTGTCGTCGTCGTCGTCGTCGTCGTCGTCGTCGTCCCGGTGTTCGAGCAGCGCCGCGGCGGTTCCCCTCTATTGATCGAATTTGACCTGCGAAGTTTCCCCTAGCGCGTGTGTGCAGTATAGTGGCGGCCGGCAGTGCTTCTTTCGCGCTCGCGTTTCCGAGTTCGGTAGTGCGGTTAAATCGTGAGCAGCCTCGGTATGTCTTTGCCAACGGCTTGCACGCGGTTCAGTGATAACTACGACTTGAAGGAGGAACTCGGCAAGTGAGTAACCACACAATTTACATTTCATTCGCGTCATACGAGCGACAAGCTAACTTGCGAGATACAATGATTAACTCTGTGTGTGTCACAACATTCGTATTTTCACTTTGTCCTCATTTTAGCGCAAACATTTGTTCTGCCCTATCGTTAAGTTTTTTTTCCTATTGATACACAATATTCGTGACAAATTGACATAGATGGGAAGGGAGGGACAGAGAGAGAGAGAGAGAGAGAGAGAGAGAGCTCTGCAGTGGCCAAGATCGGAGCAGCTCCTTCCTCGTTGAGTGATAACGTGTGTTGTTATGTTTCCGCACACGCGAACGAGCAGAGATTATGTCTCGCGAATTACGAATCCGTAGCAGACGACGCTGCGCGGTCGGCCATAATTGTTCCGTGCGTATGCAGGGTCTTTTTTTCCGCCTTTTTTCCCCCTCTCTTTATTTGCATTTATCGTCTTTTCTCGCCTCTTGTCTGCTCCATGTGCGCGCTCTCGTCTCGCCCTAGTCGCGCGAATATACGCGCGCGCGTGTGTATCTTTCTTTTCTCTCTTTCTCTGTCTCGCGTACGCGGGAGACACCCCGTTGCATTTAGTCTATATTTAAGCGCCACGGGTTGTCTCAGCTCGTGTGGCTCAGCCTCTATATATAAAACGTCAGGGCGCCTGTTTCTCTCCACTGCCATCTCGTGCGAGGAGCGACGGCATTAAGCATCGTGTATACGTGCGAGGATCCGTTACCGAATCGATATCACATCGCACTATTTTTTATCTTCGTTACTCTATTCTCTTATGTTCTCTTCCGTTCTCCACCTTCTTCCCCCTCCTTCCCCTCCTCTATCTCTCCGTCTCCTATCTCTCCACTCTCTTGCCATTTTCCATCCGTTCCTCTCTTTCTCTTTTCTCTCTCAACATTCGCGCTTTCCATTTTCTTCTCCTCTTTTTCGCCATCCCTCATCACCATCCCTCATCGCTCTTTTACCCTCGATCGTGGCACAAGTGACGGCAGGTGGTTGCAGTCTTGCATGCTGTTATCCCTAAAAGTCACTAGAACTTTTCTTGGTGAGATATTACTGCACTTGTTCGGGGTCAGACCGCTGATAGAAAAATTATATGTTTCTTGCAAATTATCATTTTTCTTAGAAATGGATATTAGTTATATGTTATATTACAATTAATAGCAAGAGTATGATAATTTTATTAAAAAATTACACACACACACACACACACACACACACACACACACACTATTTACTTTTTTTTAAATTTTTAAAAATTATTCTTTCTAGTACGTTTATTTACAATAATACTATTTTGCGAATAAATTGGTATTTATTCGTATTCTTTTATCGTTTTTATTT